TTTTGCTTAACTTCTTTTTTTATTTTTTTTATTTCATTTTGCTTTATACAAAAATATTGTTTTTAAATGATCTCAAGTTATTGATGATACTTGTTGACATATAATCTTCACAGGCATGTAAGTCCTTTCCTTGATACATGTAGCTCCAACTAGTCTCAAACCAGTATAAATGTCTGCAGTTGGGGAAAAAATGTCTTCTCCTAGGATGAACTCCAGCAGCCTAGCATCCAGTTTGAGTCCTCTATGTTCTGAGAAAGAATCCCATTACCTCCAAAACTGCCCAAGACCTTCCTCCACAGAGTGCAGAAGAAATGAAAATCCCTACCTAGTTTTCATCTGAAATGAGCTAAGATACTTATTTGTCTCTGTTCAGGTTCCTGTCAAGATTATTGGCCCTTGGTTTGCTGCCTGCCACCTGTGTGACTCTGAACAAGTCACTGAACCCTCGCCTACCTCCTCCTTTGTAAAATGGGCCACACACACACACACACACACACACACACACACACACACACACCACCTCTGGCCTGGGGTTGCAGTGAATTAAGACAAAGGCTAAGGGAGAGCTGTGGGGCAGCTGGAAGCAACCAGGATATCCCCCTCAGCTTCGACTTCTCCACTCACCTCTCCTGGTCTGCATAAATACAAGTTTTTCCAACATGCTGTGCACCAAAGTAGTTCATTGGGAAACACAGTAATTAGCATTACAGATAAAATGGCACTGCTGCAATGTTAATTACTATAGTGCAGATGTACCGTTAGATTTAGATATCATACATAATGTTGTCAAGCCTTTATTTTTAAATTAAAGTGCAGCAAACCATACCCTGGCTACACATCGTTTTATGATTAATACAAATTAATGTTATTTCAAAGTCTAGGGAAAGGGTAGAGATAAGGAGATGTTTCAGCTAATTGTAACAACATAATGGTAGATGTTATGTATTTCCACAGCTGCCTGCCCACACTCAGATCTCTGCATAAGGAAGTGTGAGTTCCAAGAAGACATAAACCATGTTCCTCATACTATCCCAAGCTCCTAGCATAGTCAGGGATGTGGAACAGCCTGTCTAAATGAATGGGTGATGAAGAAATGAGTGATTGAATGAATGGATGGGTGGATGAATGAATGAATAAATGAATGAGAGTCACATTTTTTTTTTTTTGGTCTCTTTGTAACAGGGCCTCCCAGTAGCCCCAGCTGGCCTGGAGCTCACTATGTAGACCAGGTTGGCCTTGAACTCACAGAGATCTGCCTGCCTCTGTCTCCCGAGTGCTGGGACTACAGGGGAGTCATATTTTATAGAAGAGAGTCTGCATGGGCTAAAGGGAGCTAAAAGGCGAAAGGACTTATTTTTAATTCTCCTAGTTGTATTTTGGTTTTGAACCATCAAAATGCATTTGGATGCTCCCTATGTCTGGCACACTAAAGTCCTGAGTGACAGGAAAGTGGATCATCCCAAAACAGAAGCTGAGTGACATTTCACAAACACCATTACATTCCATCAGGATCTGGAGAGTGGGGAAAATAGGCGGAGGGGAGGAGTTTAAGGACGATTGTTCCACAGCAGAGAGACAGCCATGCAACAGCCAAAAGAGAGGAAGGGAAGAATGAAAATGTTTGGTCAGTGCAAATATTATTTAGTTAATACGACAACTTTGTGGAGGACTTATTTTTCCATTTTATTGTGGTAAAATACATATAATATGAAATTTGCCATCTAAACCATTTTTAAGCTCAATAGTAAAAAACGCATTTGTGTGGCTTTCACACCATTCACCTCCAAAACTTTGCATATTGAAAACCTGAAACTTCATATCCATTAAAAACCGAATGCCCACGGCTGGAGAGATGGCTCAGCGGTTAAGAGCACTGACTGCTCTTGCAGATGACCTGGATTCGATTTCCAGTACCCACATGGCAGCTATGAACCATCCTTAACTCCAGTTCCAGAGGAATCCGAAGCCCTCTTCTGACCTCCGTGGCATTGCACGACATGATGCACTCACATACATGCAGGCAATACTCTCATACACATAAAATAAAAATAATAAATAAAATCAAATAACTGAATGCCCATTCCTTCCTCCCTGCCCCAGCCTCTGCAGTCTCTATCCCGCTTTCTATCTCTATGATTTTCACCATTTTTGACACCTCGTATAAACAGAGTTCATTTATATTTAAAGGTATTACTTATTAGGAGGCGGTTCTGCCATTTTGCTATTTGTTTTGAAGATGGCTAATGGCGTTTTTATTATTTTCTTTTTCTTTTTCATGAGGAAAATTTTAGGTCTTTTTTTCAGTTAAGAAAAATGAAGTCTCTAGAAATTAAGTAAATTGTCCAAAGTTACACAGCTGACAAGAAGCAAACTGGGAACCTCTGAGCCCAGAGCGCTTGCTTCTCCCACCTGCTGTGTGTCGGTGTTCTCTAAGTACTGGGGGAAATGCAGATGAGCATGGGACATCAGTCTGTGTTGCTTCCAGGGCAAAAAAAAAAGGTCTTTGAAATTATGATTACTTTACACATGCATCTAGCAATCTTCACTCTATTATTTGAGTAGCTCACATTCGGTAATGCAGATAAATGGATTTCTGGAACTGGGGGATCTCAGTGGCACAGAGCATCATGCTGTAAGAACAGAGAGCAGCTCTTTATAGAGTGTTGTGTACTGCAGACATCCATCAATGCTACATGATTTCATCTCATCATTCTGTACCTACTGACATTTGAGAATTACAGAGCTTCAGTTCTGCTCTATGGGATCACTTCTCAAAGCAGATATATACCGCAGTACATTGTAAATACCATCAGAATCTGTACTTTATTTGATCCAAACCTGCCTAATGTAATACCCCTGGATTAGTAAAATATTGCATCCATATGGATATGTAATGTAGTGAAGGAGGTATAAAGGTTTCATGATAAACTATACATTTTTGCCATGGAGTATTATGCAGCCACGTCAAAGCAATATTATAGAACAGATCAGGGCCTGGAATTACTTGTGTAGTAAAAAAATAACCTATAATAAGTCAGATATACATATGTGAATGTGAAAATGATTTATATATGTATACATATACATATATAATAATCTCATTAAAATGTATTTATGAGTATCAAAAGTTTGTATACCAAAATATTAATAGTGGTCATTGGTTAATTTTAAAATTGAAGTGATCGATAACATCTGTGTAGTGAACTCTTTCTGTGTAGTGTCTGTAACAGGGACAGGAGAGGGATCACACAGAAACACCTAAACTGGACGTTGGGGACCTGAGAGTCCATCAGTCTCCCATTGAGGCATGCTCCCGGTCGCTCATTACAACTTCTTATCATCTAGATTTCTTAGCATGTCCATCCTGCTGGTTGCTTTCTCCAATTTTTCGTATGTGAGATTTTGAATTTTTACAGCATCTCTACCTTCCAAACAATTGTGAGAGGGAAAAATTAAATTTTATACAGTGTAACGTACAAAATAGTAATCACCGTGGGTGAAAAATTTCCCTTGAGTTCCTATCTCAAGTTCCTAAATGATAATGTGGTTTGTGTTTCACAGGAAGTACCTTGGAAGCCAGGTAAAGCAGGAAAGCCCTCTGAGGAGGCTATCATGACCCTCTCCATACATGGATTTAACCTGATGTGTTACCATCAGAAGGATACAAAAAGCATTGGTCTACTATGCACCTCTCTAGGTCTGGGGAGAAATGAAAGGAAAGCCTTGCTTGATCTTTTGCCCACTGCCTTACAGGTCAGTGGGACCATGTACAACACTGGAAGACATGTGTCCCTTCGCCTGGACAAGGAGCACCTGGTCAACATATCAGGAGGGCCCATGACATACAGCCATCGGCTGGAGGAGATCCGGCTACATTTTGGGAGTGAGGACAGCCAAGGGTCCGAGCACCTTCTCAATGGACAGGCCTTCTCTGGAGAGGTATGTGGATTTGTCAAAGTACTAAGATTTAGTGCCAGCCTATACAGTTTCATGCCTGTTTCTACCCAAAGTGCATAACAAACGGAAAGAGTTTCCTTGTCTGTGAAAGAATGCCCCCACCTCTTTTCTCCATGTGTATTTTGCATTTTAGCTTTCAGTTTTCCAGGAAAGCCTGGGAAGAAACAGTATTTCCTTCTGAAACACTAGTGCAGGTCTCCTGGGACTCATGCCCTGATGTGCTTTTGGAGTATCATTTAACCCCCAAACCTTTCAAACCCCTCTTCACTTCCACCTCTCTAGGCAATCAGCCTCTTGTGTACCCTGTATGTTAGCATAGCTTCTCTTCCAATAAAATGGATTTTATTTTCCTAAAACTGCAACTTACTGTTGGAATAAATGTCATGCAACTAAGTAGTTTGCCTAAAATTCTGCAGAACAGAAATTACATTGTGTCACACCATTAACGTTGAGTGTCACTGTGTACCACCATCAACCATCAAAAATCAAAGCAGTGCTTCCAGTCATGATTTCAGCTATGAGATAAAAGGGATCATCTAACTAGATTTCATCTTGATGTGACCCTTGGCCTGTCTTGCCCTTTATACTTGTGGATTCATAAATTAGGGATCAGGGGTTCTTATATAATAAACACCCTTTACTAGGTTTCTAGTAAGAGTCATCAATAACTGATGTCAAGAAAGCTTTGAAATTACAGAAATATGTAACTTATAAGGTCTTTTTACTTTTCTAATCAAAGTCATGGTAAAATCTGGCATTTTGTTAATGTGCTAAGACCATATGCTGCCATACCCACAGTTGAAGGAATCCATTGGTCAGAGTTTGATATGCATTCAAAATACAGGCTAAGAGTCTGCCTAGGGACCTTGCTAGTTACCAGGGATACAAGGATTTAAAAAGAGAAAAAGAAGAAAAGAGCTCTTGCCCCAGAGGAGCTCAAAGAGGACTATATTCAAGTCATTAAAGTATAATGTCATGCTGTAATGGAGATGTACAAAGGCCCTGGCAGGCTCAAAAGAAGAAGTGACACATTTCGCTTGAAGGGGTCAGGAGGAGCTTCACAGAGGAGGTGCCCTTTGAACTGGGCTGTGGAGAGAAGCAATGAAGAATCATTTTAAAAAGCACAAGCTTTGGAGTCAGAGGACCTGAATTTGTAGCCCCTGCTCTGGTATACACTATGTTATCTTGGGATGTTATTTGATCCTTATAAGACACAATTTAGAAACCTCTCAAAGTTATTTTAAAATTTTAGTGGGATTCCAGATGTAAGAAGCACTCAGGTGATATGTTAAAAAAAAAAAAAAAAAAGATGAAGCAAGAAATGAGGGATTGGATGAGAAATGGCCTTGAGGCGTATCAGGCACTGTGTGTTAGAGAAGCTGCGTGCAGCTTTCACCCAGTACTTTATCTATCATCTATTAGTAATGGCTGCATAGACAATGGGGTTGAACATCAGTAAGAGTCTCTACTAAATTGGGATTGATTACAGATGTCTGCTAAAGGCAAGCCAATAATAGAAAGTTCTCTAAGAAGCTGCAGATCCTGAGCTAGAACCCAGCAGGAAGTGTGGCAGGAAGAGGGGAAAATACAACTCCAAAGTACCTAGGGAGCCAGGCTTAGTACAGAATATTCACCTCAGGCTGAACTCTTCCTTTCGACAGTACAGGTTACTTTTTAAAAATATTTCATTTATTATTTTTATTTTATGTGTACAAATGTATTGCCTGCATATATGTGAATGCACCCATGTCGTGCAATGCCGTGGAGGTCAGAAGAGGTTTTGGATTCCCCTGGGACTGGACTTAAGGATGGTTTGTAGCCACCATGTGGGCACTGGGAATCGAACCCGGGTCCTCTGCAAGAGCAGTGAGAGCTGTTAACCGCTGAGCCATCTCTCCAGCCCCCCAGTACAGGTTACTTTTAAAGTTTGTTATCATTTTATCTGCTGACTCACTTGCTCATTTATTTGCTGGTTATTTTTTTCCTCCCTTTCTATACTGTCTAACTCCAGTGTTTCTTACAACAGTGTCTCCAAATAGAAAGACTTCAGCGATTTAAACGAATGGGTAAAAAATGCAGATGGCTACTAGGCTAAAATCTGTACATTGCAGAATTCCTATGTCACTGATTACTTTGGTATTTAATTAGGGTGATTTATAACTTGTGCATGAACAACTTAAATTTTTTGAGTGTTTTTCAATCAAGGGGTACATAATAATTTAATCTTTTAATGTTCTAATTTTCCTAGACCTACTCCAGCCCACAGAGATTAGGTGCTTCAAAGAATTTACATTTAAAATTTTCTAGAAAGCCAGACAATGGTAGTACATATCTACAATTCCAACACTCAGGAGGCAGAAGCAAAATGATCATGAGTTTGAAGCCATCCTGGACTACACAGCAAGACCCTACCTCAGAAAGAAAGGTTCCCAGATCAACCAAATAGTGAAGCACTCTCTCAGTAATACATTATTAACTGTTCTCAATGCAGAAAGCATTCGTTAAAGAGTGCCGTTAAACAGTGTTGCAAATACAAAATAGTAAGGGCGCTGTCAGAATCTTGAGTCCTCCCCAGACCAGATGAATCAGTGTCTCAGAGAGTAAGCTCCAGATAGATGAATGTGTAAAATTTCTCCCCAAGAGATACTGGCTATCAACCACTATGCCAATTTCAGGACAAGTTTTGCCTGCTTTATCCCAGTTTTCTCAATAGAGAAAACTAAACACCAAATTACTGTGAAAAAGAGGAAAAGAGGAACCCAACGGTAATTACATCTCAGAAATGGCAAGCTGAGGTGCTATGATGAGACTTGAGGAATAGCTTCCCAGTCAGCAGAGACAGACAGACAGACAGACAGACACACACACACACACGCACGCACGCACACACACACACACACACACACACGCATACACAAACACACGGTGGTAGCCCTTAGCATCAGCCTCAGCATAAATATATCTGTATCTGGCTCTGGCTCTGGGCAGATCACAAGAGTCTTATCACATTTCTTCCTGAGCCCCTCAGTATGAATAATCTACAGACAAACTAGTGTATATTCAGGGCAAGAGACCAGCATTTTGGAGGTTCCAAAATAATTTTGTATGCAGATCACTGTTTACACAGTTGGTCTTTGAGCTATTTGAATGACTCTAGTGAGCATGGCACTCTGTGTGTCATGAGGGAAAAGTCCTAGGGCCAGTAGGTGAAAACAACTTAAAGAAGATGTTCAGCTAAATACATGGTCTAACAGTGAGAGCTCTCCATCAAAGATACAAGTTTGCTTCTGAAAACAGTAAATTCCCATTGCTGGAATTATTAAGTTCTGAAGACATCCTAATGAATGAGTAAGATATTAGTGTTAATGTACCTTCTAATAACTAAATATTACACAATCTATAACTTTCTTGTAGAAATTTTCTCCTGTCAGATTCCACTGAAGGTTAGCCTCTGTAAATGCAAATATTTATCACCTGTAGCTTCACTTTTACTTTTATTTTGTACTATCTTCAAAGCCACCCTTGGTCTCTATTTCTGGCTATCCTTTGAGAGGACCCAAGTAGATATTTCTTGCAATAACACATGTGTTTATTTTGTTGACATTGAATAATCACATTGCCATCTGCCCCATCTATCATTGCTGATCATGATAAGTCAATTAACGCCAGGCATTTTCCTTGGCACAGTGCAACAGTCACTATCTAAAGAGCTGTAGATTAATTGCAGTCTTGTCTAGTGAGGTTATTATAATTGATGGTAATAATTTTCTTTGTTTTATAAAGCTGTGTGGATGTATGACACAGCAACTACATTTTTTTGTAAAAAAAAAATTTATTCATATCCTACATGGAGAACTCCTAGAAGACTTGTTAGGGGTGATGATAAATGGGCATATTCAGGGATCCAAATGTCTCAGTTTTTAAAGGGAGAAAATGAACTGTTTTAATAAGTAAGACCCTTCACTTGCTAATCATTTTAAGTGCTTAGATTAATAGCTAGTACAAAGTAGGGCATTTGTGGAAAGAAACAAGTGTATTATCCAGGCGAAAAGATAATATTGGAATAGAATCATTTTTGTGGATTAAGTTCCAATAGTGTGGCTAGAGAAGAAAACTCATTTGGGAGAAATTGGGCAAATTCATTTTCAAAATTTTCTCCAAGTTCTTCCTTTCCAAGGGATAGAGCAGTGTCCTGAGAACCACAATGACCACTTCACAGACTATCTGCGACTTGATCTCCTGTTTATTTTCTCCATTCTGCATAGCTATTGTGTACCTGCTGTGTGCTAGGCTCTGAGCTAGGCATGGACCAGCACCCAGTAGCCACCCAGAAAAGTCAGAAGTCTATTGGGGAGCACACCTATAGAGTGTACATGGCTATACATACAAACATGTGTGTATATTCTTCATGGCTATAAACACTGTGAGCATGGACGTATTTGAGGTTTGTTGTAAGAGATTATGAAGTTGCAACCTTTGGGTCATAATGAGAAAGAACAATGAGTCGCTTTCAGAGCACTCTGCTTGCTCCTCCCCCTGAGTGAGGTAGAAGTATTGACCTTCCTAGAGCTCAGCCTCTGGAATCTCCAGTTCTGCTCAAAAGACAGAGAGGAAAGTGTCCATAGGTGTTGCTATGGTGATAGAGACTATAGTTTTTAGTTTAAAAGAGAGAATAAAATTTATGTGTAAAATATGGGGTGATTTTCTCTTTTGAGTGACTCTGAATCAGAAGAGATAACTAGTTCAGAATCAATAACTGAAACAAACAGAAAATACAGCCTCATCCTCTTCAAGGAACCAATTATCTGCATCCTTGAGAGACTGACTTCACAAAAACACAATTTGTCCAGAATAAGCAACAAACACCAAACTGTCCTGAAGTGTGCTAGGGAATGAAAATTGCTCCTTTGCACTGTCTGAGAGCCAGGGCCGCAGTAGACATGGCAGGATGGAGGTGGGGGGATGTTTGGGCCATCTAGATG